TTTAGATTTATATCTTATTTATTTAGCTCAATATAAAATTTCAAAAAGTGTCCATAATGCCATGCTACCCTACTGTATAATCATGTTACTAAAGTATTTTTTTTGATAAAATTTTTTTAAATTTAAATTTCGAATAGGATTTGTATGAAAAATTAATTTAATTTATAATTTTTAAAAAATGAATTATATATTTATTATTAGTTCTGTATTGTATTTTTGATTAATATTCTTTAGCGTCTTGTTTCCTTATAGCCAAATATTTATTTTAAAAATTCAGAATTCAACAAAAATCTCAATCTCTTTCACTTTAAAATTATAATAAATTATCATTTTATTACTCTTCCATCAAAATTAAGCCGAGTTAATCGAATAGATATCAAACAAATAATCAAAAACAACATTGAAGATTTTGTACTTGAAAAACTTAGTGAAATAGTTGTCTTACCTCTTCATCAACTTATTAAACCAAGTAAAAATCGAAAAAATTGAAAAACTATTCCAAGATCTCAAAATAGTTTCATATTATACAGGAGAAACTTTAATGCAACATTTAATAATATAGCATTTAATAAAGGCCAAGATATAAAAAAAAAATTAAATTTATTTCAAAAAAAGCGGCCAAAAATTGGTTAAAAGAAAGTAATGAGGTTAAACAACTTTACCAGTTAATAGCTGATTGTGCAAAAGAAGTTCATAATATTATGTATCCCGATTACAATTATAGACCAAAGAGTAAGCAAATTGGTTATTGTTCTAAAGTAAAAAACAAAACAACAAAACCATCACTTCGCACTCTGATTGATCTTTGTATTTACACTAATCTTTCAGATTATGATAAGAAAATATGGAATTTAGTTGATAAATTAACTGATTTAAAATGATGGTGTAAATTTTATTTATTAAAAATTTTATATTTTGTCTGTGTGAAGGAAATTTTCACAAATATTGTATTTTTAAGTATGCACATATAAAGATATTTTTAATGGATCAGTAATTTAAAAATATTTAAATTTTTTGCATAAAAGTACACGTATTGGCATATAAAAAAATAAGTTTGATTGTTTTTTTTTTTTTGGGGGGGGGTAATAATTAATTAATCAAATTCATATATTGTATCGGTATATTTTTGTTACATAATTACAGTACATGATTAATAATAGGTACCAATAGTTATTTTATTACAAAGACTCTGTTTAAAAAGTTAAAGTATAAATTTATTTCGAAGTCAGATGCCAACATTTTAAATATTTAAATATTTAATTATAACCAATATTTTTACTTCATAATTTGGATATTTTCCAAGTATATAGAGGTACTTCTTTTGAAGTTTATTAAGTATTTTACTTCTGCATAAATAAGCTTTTTAGACTCAAAATTGCCTGTGTACAACTCATTGCCTTCAGCACTTTATGTTATTGTCCTTAATCTCATAAGGATTTTGTTGTAAGTGGGAACAGAATTTAAGTGGATACAGAATTTTTTAATTAAATTTCAAATTTAATGACCAGAATAGGTTAAGGTTGGGGTTAGGGTTAGGGTTCGTGTTAGGGTTAGGGTTTGTGTTAAGGGTTAGGGTTAGAGTAGAGGATATAGGTTATATAGAATAATTCTATAGCAAAATACTAAATTTATTAATAAATTCCAAATCCACAGAAATTCCATTCCTACTTACAATATACATATAAAAAAAATGAGAGCACTCGCAAGGAATTGAATCTTGCCTACAATGTAATGACTAATACCATTTGTCTTTGGGTAATGAAGATTTTTTGGGATTGTAAAATAAAATTTTCAATTTTATACATGAAATTTAAAATAGATCTGGCTAGCTAATTTCTTTGATTCAAAAATAAATTTTACATCGATATTTGAAAATTTTTTGGAAAATCTGTATTGCTTATTTGAATAGGATATTTACGAATAGTAAAAAAAAAAAAAAAACAACAAATAAGGTATATAAAAATGTTCTTAATTATAGAAATACTCGCCGGATAGTAGCGGATGTGAATACCATAAATATTCAAATAATAATAGCTATTAATTCACTCAGATCATTGAAATTTTCTTTGAAAAATGAAATATTATAATAATTATTTATTTCAAAGGAAATACATTCATTTATTTAAGTTTCTTTTATGAGTTTTAAAGCTTTCTCTTCATCTTTACTAACACCAATCCCATGATTATAACATTCTATTAATTTAGTTCTGGCGAAATCTTCATATTTAACATTTTTGTAAAGATCTGAATAAAATTCAAATGCTTTTTTTATCTGTAAAAACACCCCTATTATTTTTAATACGATCTGCTTACAATAAATCAATTTTTTCATATTTATTTGTTTTTTTATTCGATTTTTCAATGTAAATATCTAAATAAAACTCAAAAGCTTTTTGGTGATTATTTTTTTTATCATAATATGATGCCAACCAAATTTTGGCATCGTTTGACCCGCCATTGCTAGCTTCCAAATATAGCTTCAGGGCTTCACTGTAATTTGTTGAAATTCCCAACCCCTTTTCATAGTGTTTAGCTCAATAAAATTTTGCATTATCTGTATAATTACATTTAGCATAAGCAACAGTTTGAAAAGAACAAAAGGATGATTTATAATCTTCGTTTTTATAATATCCAAGCGCTTTTTTAAACAGTTTATTGTATTCATCAACCATTTTTCTGAAAAAGAATAGTTTTAACATTAAATATAAATATTTATATGAAAAATATTTTGAATTTCTAAATAATTGAAGAGTTATGTAATTAAAAATTATATTTTAATTTTGATTCATTTTTCTTTCTTTAAAGAATCCAATTACATTACCGTTACTGTTATGAAAATCATAATTAAAATTCATTTTCAATTGCATTACGAAAATTAAATACATTTAATTACATTAATTTTCAAATAAACATTTGATATCTTTGTAAACTTGAAGTTTTAAAATATTAACATTATTGAAGAATATATTGAGGTATTGTATGGTGAATTGTTACAATAGATATTATACATCTATTGTAGCTGAACTATCGGCAATGCTATTAATTTCAATTAGAAGTTAAAGCCTATTCAATTACTAAAATAGAAACTTTGCAAGTCATATAAAATCATAATACGATTTTATATGACTTGCAAATTTATTGTAGTTTTGAATTTTAAGTAGGCCCAATAAATAGTCATCAAAGTTTATGTGAGTCGCATTGTATTATATAAGCAATCTAAATTGTTATGTTAAAAGCTAGATTATCACCAACTTAGTAAAGACTAAAGCAAGAGGTAATTCGCCATTAAGTCGCATTTTATTAATTATGATAAAATATTGAAAGTTTTTTTTGATTTTATATAATTGTGATTCTATTAAAGAAATTTTATAAAAGCATTATCGTTATATAGTTGAATAAGCTTTTTTTTTTAATAATTATATTAATCTCAAATCGAACTCTATAGGATAATGATCTGAAATGTGCTTTGCGGCCTTCTTGGGTAAGTCTGGATCACGATTATCTCTCCAGTCTTTATCAAATTTCAGTATCACACCTTTTTCGATCCGACTTTTATGATTTATTTCAAATATAAATCGATCATAGGCAGCGATGCTTTTGGAGGTCACTGAAGTATCACTTGAATAATTAATTCCTACATCAAATATTTTTGCGTAATATTTTATCAAGTTTCGTTTGCTTTTTGTTTTTGTTACTAAGATAAGGGCCCAAAGCATTGAAATCATCCATTAGAATTATAGGTTTACGATTTTCATGTAATTGTAACTTTCAGTATCCATCAATGCTGAAAATATACTCGTGCACGTGAGTTCAAAAAAGTTATCGTCATATATTATTTACCGATTCATTATCATTTATTCTCCTTTTCTACACTTTTTGTATTATTTTTGTTAAAAATATTATTAATAATACTGTTCCAACTATTATTGTTCCAACTATTATTATTTTTTTGTTCATTCGCGAATTCGTTTTTTCTTGTCATTTGTAAAGTTCTTAATTTCTCTATTTTAATACATATGGCTTTAAGTAGATTACTTACGATACTTTATTTTTTTTTAAAAACA